ACCCCTACGTCGACCGTGCCTGTGTCTATTAATAGAACAGTGTTTGGCTTGCTTGTTTGGGATACCATAGTATTTTGTTGTTGCAAAATCGTCAGGCAAAATCCCATTATTGTTGTTTTTATAAAAACAACGTTTGTTTATGAGTGGAGAACGATGGTAATGTTTACCAGGGGGTAAGGCAGGGAATACCTAGGTTTCGGAAAGAGCCACCAATCCTCATCAGTTCCCTTGTTTCTTGTCTGGGATATTCTCCCCAGAAGTTATTTTAAAAAATAACTTCTATGACAAAAAACATTTTTTTACCCAAGTGACGAGATCGTAAGCTCAATAGAAGAGGAACAAAAGAATTACATAAAACTAAAATTCTTTTGGAAAATCTTCTAAATCTTACAACCGCACTTATAAACATTTTCATCTTTCTCCACTTGTTATGATTTCGTTCAGCCTGAACGAAGTAACATAACCATGTAAGTTTGTTTTGTCTGTTACAACAAAACCCCTACGTCGACCGTGCCTGTGTCTATTAATAGAACAGTGTTTGGCTTGCTTGTTTGGGATACCATAGTATTTTGTTGTTGCAAAATCGTCAGGCAAAATCCCATTATTGTTGTTTTTATAAAAACAACGTTTGTTTATGAGTGGAGAACGATGGTAATGTTTACCAGGGGGTAAGGCAGGGAATACCTAGGTTTCGGAAAGAGCCACCAATCCTCATCAGTTCCCTTGTTTCTTGTCTGGGATATTCTCCCCAGAAGTTATTTTAAAAAATAACTTCTATGACAAAAAACATTTTTTTACCCAAGTGACGAGACCGTAAGCTCAATAGAAGAGGAACAAAAGAATTACATAAAACTAAAATTCTTTTGGAAAATCTTCTAAATCTTACAACCGCACTTATAAACATTTTCATCTTTCTCCACTTGTTATGATTTCGTTCAGCCTGAACGAAGTAACATAACCATGTAAGTTTGTTTTGTCTGTTACAACAAAACCCCTACGTCGACCGTGCCTGTGTCTATTAATAGAACAGTGTTTGGCTTGCTTGTTTGGGATACCATAGTATTTTGTTGTTGCAAAATCGTCAGGCAAAATCCCATTATTGTTGTTTTTATAAAAACAACGTTTGTTTATGAGTGGAGAACGATGGTAATGTTTACCAGGGGGTAAGGCAGGGAATACCTAGGTTTCGGAAAGAGCCACCAATCCTCATCAGTTCCCTTGTTTCTTGTCTGGGATATTCTCCCCAGAAGTTATTTTAAAAAATAACTTCTATGACAAAAAACATTTTTTTACCCAAGTGACGAGATCGTAAGCTCAATAGAAGAGGAACAAAAGAATTACATAAAACTAAAATTCTTTTGGAAAATCTTCTAAATCTTACAACCGCACTTATAAACATTTTCATCTTTCTCCACTTGTTATGATTTCGTTCAGCCTGAACGAAGTAACATAACCATGTAAGTTTGTTTTGTCTGTTACAACAAAACCCCTACGTCGACCGTGCCTGTGTCTATTAATAGAACAGTGTTTGGCTTGCTTGTTTGGGATACCATAGTATTTTGTTGTTGCAAAATCGTCAGGCAAAATCCCATTATTGTTGTTTTTATAAAAACAACGTTTGTTTATGAGTGGAGAACGATGGTAATGTTTACCAGGGGGTAAGGCAGGGAATACCTAGGTTTCGGAAAGAGCCACCAATCCTCATCAGTTCCCTTGTTTCTTGTCTGGGATATTCTCCCCAGAAGTTATTTTAAAAAATAACTTCTATGACAAAAAACATTTTTTTACCCAAGTGACGAGATCGTAAGCTCAATAGAAGAGGAACAAAAGAATTACATAAAACTAAAATTCTTTTGGAAAATCTTCTAAATCTTACAACCGCACTTATAAACATTTTCATCTTTCTCCACTTGTTATGATTTCGTTCAGCCTGAACGAAGTAACATAACCATGTAAGTTTGTTTTGTCTGTTACAACAAAACCCCTACGTCGACCGTGCCTGTGTCTATTAATAGAACAGTGTTTGGCTTGCTTGTTTGGGATACCATAGTATTTTGTTGTTGCAAAATCGTCAGGCAAAATCCCATTATTGTTGTTTTTATAAAAACAACGTTTGTTTATGAGTGGAGAACGATGGTAATGTTTACCAGGGGGTAAGGCAGGGAATACCTAGGTTTCGGAAAGAGCCACCAATCCTCATCAGTTCCCTTGTTTCTTGTCTGGGATATTCTCCCCAGAAGTTATTTTAAAAAATAACTTCTATGACAAAAAACATTTTTTTACCCAAGTGACGAGATCGTAAGCTCAATAGAAGAGGAACAAAAGAATTACATAAAACTAAAATTCTTTTGGAAAATCTTCTAAATCTTACAACCGCACTTATAAACATTTTCATCTTTCTCCACTTGTTATGATTTCGTTCAGCCTGAACGAAGTAACATAACCATGTAAGTTTGTTTTGTCTGTTACAACAAAACCCCTACGTCGACCGTGCCTGTGTCTATTAATAGAACAGTGTTTGGCTTGCTTGTTTGGGATACCATAGTATTTTGTTGTTGCAAAATCGTCAGGCAAAATCCCATTATTGTTGTTTTTATAAAAACAACGTTTGTTTATGAGTGGAGAACGATGGTAATGTTTACCAGGGGGTAAGGCAGGGAATACCTAGGTTTCGGTTTTGTTGTAACAGACAAAACAAACTTACATGGTTATGTTACTTCGTTCAGGCTGAACGAAATCATAACAAGTGGAGAAAGATGAAAATGTTTATAAGTGCGGTTGTAAGATTTAGAAGATTTTCCAAAAGAATTTTAGTTTTATGTAATTCTTTTGTTCCTCTTCTATTGAGCTTACGATCTCGTCACTTGGGTAAAAAAATGTTTTTTGTCATAGAAGTTATTTTTTAAAATAACTTCTGGGGAGAATATCCCAGACAAGAAACAAGGGAACTGATGAGGATTGGTGGCTCTTTCCGAAACCTAGGTATTCCCTGCCTTACCCCCTGGTAAACATTACCATCGTTCTCCACTCATAAAACAAACGTTGTTTTTATAAAAACAACAATAATGGGATTTTGCCTGACGATTTTGCAATAACAAAACCCTGTTGCGAACGCTGTAAATTGCCGAGTGAGATTGTTAATGCAAGCCGATTTACAGTTCAGTACATCACACAACGGTTCACAGCACAGATGGATGTGTAGACGGACAGTTAAACGGTCAATAATAAAATATTTGACTTGAGTGATGAAAAGTATATTTTACGGCAGATCAAAAACGATCCATTTTTAGTGCACCGATGCATGCAAAAATTGCTGAAATGGATTTTAGAAAAGTATGTTGCCCTCAAACAATAAGAAATTTGTGCTGTTTACGGGCAAGAGCAAATTCAATCTTTTTGGTTCAGATGGCAGACCTTATGTAAGGAGAAAGGCAAATGAAGCGCTCCTTGCCAAAAATATGAAGCCTGCAGTGAAGCACGGTGGTGGGTCAGAAATGGTGTGGAGTTCATTTTCAGATTCTAGACCTGGTGCATTGCATTTTATTGAAAGTATTATGGATCAGACTATGTACCTTACATTTTTGAAAGAAAGTTTGCCACTCTGTAAGGAAAAGCTCGTCCTTGACTAAGATTATTATTTTTATCAAGACAATGATCCGAAACACAAGGCTTATAAATTGCGATCCTGGCTGCTATATAATTGTCCCCACGTAATGGATACACCAGCCCAGACATAGACCCCATAGAGAATTTATGGAGCTATCTCGATGGAAAATCTGTCAGCGTACCATATCTGGCAAAGAAGATTTGGAGAAAGCTTTGTTGGAAGAATGGCAAAAAATTTAACAAAGCTTTTGCAAAAAACTTCCAAAAAAAGTGTGCCAATTAGCCTACAAATGGTAAATATAAAATATTAATGTCAAGTAATACTTTAAATTATAAGAATTAAATTATCAGAGTTTGACTTTGGCATTGAAATATGATCTCTTTTAATATTTATTTATTTTTATACCCCCCACCTTGGAATTGAGGGTATATTATCTTTGTCATTCTGTTTGTAACATCCCTAAATATTGGTCGTAGACCCCATAAAGTATATATATTCATAATCAGCATAAAATTCTTATTTGACGTAGAGCGTCAAATTTTAGCAGAACAATTTGTATTGTGCCTAGGATGGTTGGTATTGAAAACGAGATATATCGGTCCACGTTTGGTATGTATGTATGGGTACACGGTACCTCCCGATATTCGGCATTTTAATGGTCCTTGTCGCATTTTTTCACGGATTTGTCTAAAAATTGGTGTTTGTATGTCCTAAAGGGTTATAGCTCCGTTGGAGAAACATTGTATGTATAGGTTCACGTTTTTGTATAGTCCCATATAACGGTACCTCTAGGTATTCGGTATTTTGATGATTTTTGCCACATTTCTTCGCGGATTTGTCTTAAAATTGGTATTTGTGTGTCGTAATGGGTTCTAGCTCCGTTGGCGAAACAATGTGTGTATAGGTTCACGTTTTTTGTATAGCCCCATATAGTGGTACCTCCCGATATTCGATATTTTGATAATCTTTGCCACATTTTCCCATGAATGTGTCTAAAATTTGGTATTTGTGGGCCATAATGTGTTCTAATGTTTCCTTTACCTTAAGGTGGAGGATATTAAAAGTCCGGCCCGGCCAGACTTACAGCCTGTTCCACGATGTCGAAAGAACACGTTCGCACAACTTTTACACGACAAACAGCTGATTTCCGTTCCACTAAAATCCATCAGAACGAAAATTTGCACGAAAATCAAAGCGAACGAAAACGTAATCGTTTCAGTGTAATTTTGCGTTCCACTATCTTTTTTCTTTCGTACGCATGCGAACACAAATGTCAAAATCAGTCACTTGTGTGTTTGCTGTCGAATGATAAAAATTAAGGAAAATTGTTTTAACATAAACATTTCTTGATTGAAAATGGAAAGAAAAATGTAAGTAAAAATAATAAATGCAATTTAATCTGTGAACAACAAATATATATTTTTTTATTTTCTCAATTCCAGCACGAAAAAACTACACAGCTGCGGGCAATAGTTGAGTATATGGGGGAGAATCCTAAGTTCGCCAGAGGAGTGCCAATTTTTGGAAGCAGCAGGCAATCCCATGAAGACCACTGGAAGACACAAACCTAGAAAAAATCATTTTTTTATTATTTTAAAAATGTAAAAATACAATCATACTTACTGGCTGTTAGGTACTTCAAATAAATTCGAAGCATCTCTTAAATGCATCCGTGGCACAATTTGAACCTCCTCCTCATCATCCATAAAAAATAGGGCTACAGAAATATTCATTTTTTTCTTTTTTAAGAACACAAATAATCTGAACACAATCACTAGAAATTTTATTTTGTTTGTTTATTTACAATTTGTTTGTTTACAACTGAACTGTCAGTTGAGACAGAGCCACTGCTGCTTTTTCGCGTTTATATTAGACATTTGGCGCTTTTTTTTGCCTTATTTCGCGATTAATTTTGCCAAAAAATATTTTGCAACACTGAATCACGTAAGGCTATGCGAAAGAAAGAACGAAAGTTAGTGGAACGCATTCTTATGCGAAAGTGAGTGAGTAGCCTTCGTTCGCACAAATTTTCTTTCGAGATCGTGGAACAGGCTGTTAATGTTTTTTTACTTGTTTTACTTTAAATGAATTAAAATGTTAAGTTTTTTTTTTTGCTTTTTAAATTACTTACATAGTGTACAATGTAAAAAAAAAAAACACATTTTATTGGAAGTTATAAGAAAAATACAAATTTTTCTTTAGCTGTACGAGTTTGGTTTGGAGCTACTAAATCTATTGCAAACTCCAAACATTAACGAAAAATGAAGATCGAAAAATGTGATTAAACTTGCCAAATTACCGAATATCGTAATGGAGACTTATGAAAACATGAACCAGCCTAGGCAATTCTTTGCCAAAGGAGATTGTACTCATTGCGAGCTCCAAATAGAAACTTTGAAAATGTTGAGAATCGAACCAATATTGTACTTTAGAATAAAATAATTGCTTTGGTATCACAATGTTTTTGTCAATTATGTATTCTCATTTTTCATTCAGTTCGATAAACGAATTCAATTTAACAGGTTATGGGCTTTAGTCACATTTGTAATAATAGATACATATAGATACAAATAGATACATATTTTTTCATATTGAAAAATTGTGATTTTTCGAATAAAAACAAAATAGCTGGTAATAAAATAGCTTTTCCGCTGGAAAGATTGCGTGGACGCAAAAACTTCGACGTTTGGGAGAGGAAAGCGTAATCGTATCTTGTTTTTAAAGGATGCTGGATGGCCTATATTGATAATGCGGCTGATGCTGATTTGAATGCGAGAGCTTTAGCCGAAATTACATTGATGATTGAACTAGACAACTATGGCCACATGATAATGTTGTAATGAGCTAAATAATTAAAAAAGACGACGAAGGAGATTAGGCGATGCGTCGGACACCATATCCTACCCCAGTGTCGTGTGATAATTTTAATAACAAGTTTACTTTTAACTTATAAATTATTTCTTGTTTTTCACCTAAATGAGTAAAAGTTAATTAACATTAAAAATACATTTTTGCACTTAATGCCTTTTTTGAGTTTTTTGTTTTGTAAAATTAATTTATTTTTTTTTTTAATTTTCCGCTCGTTATTCGGGGAAAACCTGCTCAAGACATTTGAACGTTGGTCCATTTTTATCGAGAGCTTTCACGAATTGCTTTATTAATCCCAACTTTATGTGCAATGGAGGTAAAATGGTGTATTTTGTATTGACTAACGGGATATTTGTGTTATTTTTCTAACCAACAATCGCGATTGAACTCGGTTTCCATTCTTTCTAAACGTAATGTTTGGAAAAGTCCCGCGTGATTATTACAGAATAATGTCGATTCCTTGATGAGGATAGCGTAAGCAAATGGTACAGAAGGTAGCAATCCATCAGTATGCAAAAGCAGTTGTTTCAAGCCTTGCAATAGAGGATATATATATGTAAACAAAAAGCTATATAAAAAATATTTATAATACATTTTGTTGATCCATCAATAAATAATCGTCAATCCTGTGATACATGACTATATCCAAGTTGTTCAAACAATTTGTTTACATCATTGCAGTAGGCCAAATTACTATTTCCAATGCTTTCGGTGAAAAGTGATCCAAACAATCCATTATTCTTGGTCCTTCGACATGTGATGCTTACATTTTAATGCAAATGGTTCCACTGTTTAAGTCTGAAACATAGAACTTCGGTTTGTCTTTTCGACAGTTCTAAATTCCAAACGAGGTCATGAAATTTCCCTTGGGATATCGAGTGTATTTTTCTCAATTATCCTTCGGAAGCGGCATTTTCTGATACAAGGATTCAATGTTGGTTTGGCAGGTAAACCTTGTAATACTGGTATAACCGGTTTCGGAACAACGTTGTTTTTCTTACGCGGTACTGTCCATATTACACTATCAACATTTGGCCCAAGGACGAACCCTATTGAAATTGGAGATTATCGGCAAAAAATTAGATATAGCTCCCATATATATCTTCGTCCGTTTTGCTTTTTATTGTGCACCAAACGTGTAATGTACACAAATAGTATGAAATTTTGAACGTACAACCAAATTAGGCCTGAAAATAGGTGTGCCAAATTTTATCGAAATCGGTTCAGATATACCTATAGCTCCCATATATATTGTTCATCCGATTTGTTATTTTTGTCCTCCGCAGCCGTAATATAAACTCGGTAACAACAATATTTGGGGAAATATATTAAATGCAGTAGGATGGAGTGTGGCACACAAGACAGAAATGAGTCTAGAAGGTAGTACACCAAATTTGGTAAAGATCGGTTCAGAAATAGCTATAGCTCCCATATATATTGTTCATCCGATTTGTTGTATTTGTTACCCAGAGCCGTAATATGTACTCCGTAACAACGATATTTGGGGAAATATATCAAATACAGCTCAGAAATATCTTTGCCAAATTTTATCGAGATCGGTTCAGATTTGGATATAGCTCCCATATATATCTTTATCTGATTTCAAATTAATTTTGCCCAAATGCAATACAAGTCCGAATTTAAAAGATACAAATGTTTCGGCATATTTAGTCCTTTGAACTTTGAATTATAATTATAATCATAGCGTGTATGATGGAATTCTCCTATAAAAACTTTTAATTGTTATGTGGAGCTCTACTAAATTAACAAAGTGGTGTAGGGTATAATAATGTCGGCCCCGCCCGACTTTGCGGTTCTTTACTAGTGTAAAGAATGAAATCTTGTTTTAAAAGTCACTATTAATGGGTTAATTAAAAATTATTCTATGCTAAATGTTGCAGGCGTGTTTTTAGAAAGTGTTAAAATTGTACAAGTCATTATTTTATAGGTAATTTTTATAAAAAGAACAAAAAATTTAAACCACAAACAAAATTATAACTCGTCTATTTCTCAACTGATTTTAATGTTTCAGTTTTTGAAAGCTTATAATTCCCTTTTTAGCAAAAATAAATAATTCCCTTGCGAGGTAAGTAGAATTAAAGAAGTAAAAACTGGCAAAGTTCTTTGAATTACTTTTTATAGCCTCCCTCTGTTAATACCTTCCACCATTTCGAAGAAACTTGCTAAATATTAAGAAAATTTCATTGAAACGGTACAGTACCATACTGTTTATTTTCGAACGCAGTCGCTAAGTCGACTTAGAATTTTACGCTGATCAAAAATATAAATAAGACATGAGTAATTCGAAGATATTTTTTTCAATTTAAACCAGTAAAGAAAGTCCTAAAGTCGGGCGGGGCCGACTTTATTATATCCTACACCACTTTGCTAATTTAGTAGAGCTCCACATAACAATTAAAAGTTTTTATGGGAGAATTCAATCATACACGCTATGATTATAATTATAATTATATGGGAGCTATATCCAAATCTGAACCGATCTCGATAAAATTTGGCAAAGATATTTCTGAGCTGTATTTGATATATTTCCCCAAATATTGTTGTTACGGAGTGCATATTAAGGCTGCGGAGGACAAAAATAACAAATCGGATGAACAAATTTGGCATACTTATTTTCAGGTCCAATCTAATCGTACGTGCAAAATTCCATACTATTCGGACTGATATTACACGTTTGGTGCACAATAAAAGGCAAATCGGACGAAGATATATATGGGAGCTATATCTAAATTTTGATGGTTATCTCCAATTTCAATAGGGTTCGTCCTTGGGCCAAACAAATGTTGTTTGGAAAATTTCATCTCAATCGGATAATAAATGCGACCTACATTTTGTTCACAAGAATACATGGACAGACGGACGGACGGACAGACGGACTGACATGCATAAGTCAACTCAGAAAGTGGTTCTATGGAGATCCTCAAAAGCAACTATGTGTCTATCTTGCTTCCTTCTCCATGTTACAAAGGCATAATACCCTTACCACTATGTGGTGTAGGGTATAAAGAGTGCACACACAGTTGTTTTTGCAATTTTTTTCAATCATATTTTTTTAGAGCGAAAGAGAAAAAGGCTGATTCACAACAACAATATAAACGCACATTTTTTACAACGAAAACTAACAGTTCACAACACAATAAAAAATAGCATTTTTCTTTGCCCTTTGTTTATTGTTGTTCTTTAAATGAATGCTCACAACAACAACTACTATGGGAGATAATGTGTGAAGCACCAACATCCGTTTTCATGTGGGAGGGAATATGCCAGAGCAATAGACAGTCTACTCTCAGTTTGGATATTTTTTGATTTTTTTTTTAACGCAGGAAAATGTGCAGAAATTCTAAAAAAACCTTTAGAAAATCGGACCAATTTCAACCAAAATTTGTAATGTTTTATATTGCATGATTTTTTTTCCATTTTGGTTTACTTTTTGTCGAACATACATTTGTAGTGTTTTTTTTTTAATTCTAATGTGATGATAATTGTGATTTGATGTGTAGTCTTTATACTCTTGGGGAGAATAAAGCGACAATGAAAAAGCTATTGTTTATAGATTTTATACATTTATTAGGTAAGTGGAACTACACGTATAATATCATAAAATATCGTATATAATATCATTTGACACCTCTCGATTATTTTCTGTGGGGCTACGTAAAGTCACTGGTTTATGCTGATAAACCAACAACAATTGACGCCTTGGAGGCCAGCATTGTTCGTGTTATTCGTAGCATACGGCCAACAGTGCTCGAAAAAGTGGCCAAAATTGGACGTCCAGGATGCACTTCGTCAAGAACAGCCGCGGTGCCCATATGCCCAAAATCATTTTCAAATGTTAATATCACGTTTTGATCTTTCGAAAAAAAGTTTGATTAAAAATTAATTTTTTGTGTTAGTTTTCACAGTTTCAGGTTCTATCGCGCTTAAAAAACACCCTTTATAATATCATAGAAGAAGATAAAACGCAATGAACAGAAAACAAGTTAAAAAGGCAGTAAGTTCGGCCGGGCCGAACTTTTAATACCCTCCACCATTTGCAACGAATTTGGAAATTTTCAAAAAATACAATCCTTAAAAAATTCTGTTAAAATTTAAAAAATACTGAATATAGCCGTTATATTGGGTTCTATACGACGTGGACATACATAGGCATTGTTTGTCATAAGCCATTACCATATTCAAATTCGAAATTTGAAATAAACGGAGAATAATATAGCTAAAATCATCAAAATATCGTATATAAGGAGGTGCCGTTAAATTTGATCTGCGCGAAGACCTGGACCAGCATAGACAATTTTCTGTCACAGGCTGTAGCATCCATTACGAACTTCAAATGCCACATCTCAAACAATTTCGGTGGGTATTGTACCTAAAATCGTCAAAATACCGAATATAGGGAGGTGTTGATATATGGTGCCTATACGAAGACCTGGACCCGCACAGACAATTTTCTGTCACAGACTGTAGTTCCCATAACGAACTTCAAATACCAATTTTGAAACAAGTCCTGTGAATAATGTCGCTAAAATCATCAAAATACCGAATATAGGAAGGTACCATTATATGGGGGCTATACGAAGACGTGGACCTGCACAGACAATTCTCCATCTTAGGGTGTAGTATCCATTTTGAACTCCAAGTACCAATTTTGAAACAATTCCCGTGAATAATGTCGTTAAAATCATCAAAATACCGAAATCGAGAGGTACCGTTATATGGGGGCTATACGAAGACGTGGACCTGCACAGACAATTCTCCATCTTAGGGTGTAGTATACATTACGAACTTCAAATACCAATTTTGAAACAATTCCGGTGAATAATGTCGCTAAATCATCAAAATACCGAATATAGGGAGGTACCGTTATATGGGAGCTATACGAAGACGTGGACCTGCACAGACAATTTTCTGTCTTAGGGTGTAAT